CTAAAAATAAGTAGCAATATAAACAAGGCTAAAACCTACAGAGCGTGACCTATCTCATGAAATCTGATAACGGAATCAGACGGGAGAATTTCGGGACGCCTTTAACGTTGCGCATTTTGTTCGCTCACCCAAATCCTTCAATTAAATCTCATTTTCTTTTTCAGAAATTGTGTTTAAGTAATTATATCAAGTAAAATATCAGTAAATTTTAGCGAAAACAGACGTTGGAATATATTCGTGCAATTTCCTATGCTAATACATGCCCTAGACTCCGGTTACGCATCTGAGCGACTTTTTCAATGAAAGGACAGTAATTTACCCGCGAGAGTTTAAATAAACAGATTTGCCGGACTATAAATTTTATTTTATGTCCGATGGTAACCATGGTGATCAACCTACTAACAAAAAGGATATTTTAAGAAAACCAGAGATTTTATCTTTTCCTAAAAGTCAAATTAGCAGATTTGGGCGATTCGGTGCCTTAAAGTGCAGTAATAACGCAGATATGGATCCCTTCGTTTAAATGGGCTGAAATCGTCTTGCCGTTTGGAAAATTCTACCTGATGTCACAAACATGACCACCACAGAATGGTCATTTCCAGCTTTTACCATAGAAAACACTACGTGTCGTGTAATTTAGCTCCTGTGTACACCTTATTCAGAAATAGAACGAGCAAAACATTAATAGTTTCAGCAAAATATCTGTATTTATATAGGTGCTCTGCCGTGTATTTATAATCGAAGAACGGAATCTTAAAGCGAGCAAAATCAGTGGAAATGGCCTCAATGTATAGAGAAAGGTATGTTCCTGCCTTTACGGAAGAAAAATATTAGTATTGCTCAGGAACGTAAAAGAAACCACAAAAACGTCAAATTTTTACTTGACATCCCCGTGAAAAAATGCAAAGTACACAGAGATCCGTCAACGGAGTGCAATAATAAAGCATTTCTTAAGGAGGTAACTTATTAAGGAAAGTTGTTCTATTGATCGAAGGCATATTCGTTGCTGACTTTCGTTGTGGACAGCCATTTTTCTCGAAAATGAAGTTTGATGTTTGAATGAGTTTTCACATGTGACATAAACGACCATCTTCGTTAAAAGGAGCGCCTGAACACTCACTAATTCGGTAAATGCTTTTAAGAAGAGTCTTATTTTAAAGCTCTCAACAGACAGGTAATTTAGAATCCGTCTTTATGGGCGATCGGGTGAAAACACTGAAAATCATGAAGTATTAAGCAATATTTCGAGGCCGATCTGAAACTCAACATAATCCAAATCGAAGGAAAAGTATAAATTAATTTACCAGAAGAGAATTTCTCTTTATAAACACAAAATGGTATGTTTGCGATCACGTCTGTCAGTTCTATTCAAATTTATCAGGCACCGACCGGCATCATGACATGCCACCCTATGAAAACCTTTGATCCTACGAAGTCTACATCGATGAAATCAAGCAAAACCCAGCTTCTCTTGTTGAAACCCATCTCGCTTAACTCCAAATAATCAAGGAAATAACAAAACACGGGAAAACTGTTCTGGAACCTACACTCAGAATGTAGGCAGTTCGCAAACCGTCATATGTGGAATCACACTAATTATTGAACGATATTTAGATGTAAACTTCACCGAAATACTGTTATTAGACGTCATTTTATTTATATTTTATATTTACTAGGTTTTTGATATGAAATATATTCTATACAGTTAAAAACGAGGTTTACTATACTGGAGCCATTTCTGGCGTTTTCGGGATTTTGCGCTTTTCAAAACAGATCGACATTTCTAAACAACGCAACATTGCCTATAATATTTCCTTTATGTTTTTAATTCTTCCAATCTTGTTCTTAATTACATAGACATTTGACTCATGAAATGGTGTCGGCTTACGAGTAATTGGCAATCATTCGTAAATTTCGACACATTTCATGAGTTCGGTCACTAACTGGAGTAATTCAACCTTAAAGTAAAATCGCATGCTTTGATTGAAACTTGCCTGTTAAGTGGAAACCAAAACATTGGGTTTGCGGCTACCTTAAACCCAGCGCCTGCACGCAGGATGCAGATCTGCGACAGAGTTGAGTGTTTAAGTCGGGAGCCAAATTTTGACAACCGATAATCCTCGCCTTCTCAAAGACAGAACCTTGTTTTGACTGTCAGATGTGGCCATATCCCAGAGGCTGCTTAGCATCGCAGTTGGTTACAAGCTGGCGTTCGTGCTGTCTTATGCTGAAATTTCTTCTTTTTGCCAATATACATCACATCACCATTTCGGCATGGTATGCTGTCGACCACTGTTGTTTATTCTACGAATCGTAGCGGGCCATTACATTGCATGATTTGCTGTGCGATTTTGGATTCGATTCGTGCCTTGTGTAGTCAAACCGCTCTCCTATGACGTACACGAAACTACCGAATGAGCATAGCTTAAACACCCTCGATAGGAAATCTGTCGTCTACGACACCCGATGTGTCAATTGTAATGCAGTCTATCGTGAAAAAGCTGAGAAATCTGTCTTAGTCCATATATAAGAAGATCCGCTAGCGGTCTGGAGATAAGACCATCTACTCCAGGTAGCCATGGCCAAACTAGGTACAAATTTGCGTAGTAAAACACTCGGGTTGTTGATGGAAGGACACTCACCATGCATCAATCTGCATATAGATTGGGATGTCGCGTACAAAATACTC